GTCCTTTCCAATGCAGGAAATTAAAAACACAAACAGGACCAGCCAGTCAATCAAAAGATGGGCTCTGTGAGCAATGTCAGAGCTCTCGGTGCTCTCGGGGTACAAATTAGGGAGTTAATGTCTGCCTTAGCAGTACACTCACTAAGCAATTTGCTTTCTTTTAACTCAAGTTACCCCTTCCATCAACTGGAGAAATGAGTCCAAATTAAAATCACTATTCATCCACTACTGCCAAAGGCACACCAAGCCCAGTCTGGGGCCCAGCAATAGATCTCATCAGTTAAAATTTTAATCATTGTATCTCAGAGCCCTCAAAAGGAATAATTTGGGGTAGGGAAAAAAAAACTGAAAACTCCTAGTTACTGCTGACATGGAAGCAGATATTTTGGGGATTTTTAATGTACTTAATCCATCATTAAATGTCCCCATGATTTTTAGTTTTATTTTCTTTTTTTTTTTTCCTTTTTCAGTGAATACTTCCTAGATACTGGGTGGGTAGAGGTGACTATAATGATTTTAGTCACTTTCCTCATGCAGTTTACATTCTAGCAGGAGGGAAACATGAGAAATCATAATTACAAATAGTAATGAGTACCACCAAGCAGGGGAACATAGTCTCAGAGAGATCAAATGGGAGAGGTAAGTTTACCTTGGTTGGTCCCAGAACATTTGAAGAAGTGGCACTTAAGTTGTGACATGGAGGATGAAAATCACTCACATCCCTCATGACATTGTCAGGGTTTGGATCACAACCCCAAAATAGGGCATCTTGGAGGTCACTCTCTGACCTTCTCCTGCCTTCTTCCTCTGAATAGGTGATAAAGAATTCTCTGACCTACCACCTGTGAGAGCAGTTCACAAGATCCTTATTCCACAGGTTCCTGCCCCATCTCTGGAGGCCAAGGAGAACCCGGACAAGCAAACCTTGCTAAGCTTTCATATTTTATCACCACCAGATTAGACCCCTTCTCCACACACAATTGTGTATGTCTCAGCCATAAAAATACTTTGTTTTCCCTGAGTTTTTGAGTCCCTCATCTATGTCCCACAAAATTATTTTGGTTAAATAAATTTGTTAATGCTTTTTTTTCTTGGTAATCTATCTCTGGTTATATAGAAGTGTCAGTCATGAATCTTGTGAGCAGTGAGGAAAAGATATGACCTTTTCTCTCCATTTATTCTTTCCATTTAATGGGCATCACTCTCCCCTGGCCTTCTTACTACCTGCCTTCTTGAGGTGATCTTCTTCTTCTATCCAAGTTTTAGACTCTGAAATTCTTCAGGATTAAGTTCTAGCCCATCTTCTTATCTCAGTCTAAAGTTCTTCCCAAGGCATCCAATCCATTCCTATGACTTCAGCGATCACCTCTGTCAATAACTTCTTAATTTGACTTTTCTATCAAATACTTCTTTTTCCTAGACTCAGTCAACTGCCTCAAGTGGATATCACTTAGGAATCTCAAATTTAATGTAAAAATAAAGATATTTCACTCTTGAATCTTCTCCTTCTCCATCTTCCTAAACAGGACCATTCACTCAGCTGCCATATGAGTACTCAAGGAATCAAACATGATCCCTCATTCTCTTTTATCTACAATACACAATTGGCAATTTGGCTGTGTCCAGTTGATACCTAAGATATATCTAGGATTTCACAACATTTTTTTTTTCAACTTACGTGCCATCAACTCTGCCAAATTTCTTTCAGTCTTGCATCCAGCCTTGCCTCCAGATTATTGCCTTAAATGCAAATTTCCAATTACTCTCTAGTTTTAAAGTTCTCCCATTTTCCGAAGATCAAGTCTAAAATCATTTGAATGGTTTCTAAGATTCTGTCTGATCTGCTTACTGCTTATTTTTTTTGTCTCATTCCATGTGAATCTTCACATTAGTCTAGCCACAGTAAATTTATTTCAGTTTCTAAAATTTACAAAGGACTTTCTCTTCTGTGAGAATTTGCACATACTGTTCCTTCCACCTGAACATCTCAAGTCTCCATGCTACATGTGACCGAAGCATGACACCCAGCTCTGTACCAGATATGAGTACATTAGGCTGTAAGCAATAGATTACCCAATGGAGATGATTTCAGCAATGAAGCATTTAATTTTAATGATTGTATGTCACAAAAAATCTAAAAGTAGGCACTTCCAAGGTTGGTATGAGACCAACACTTTTCCTTTTCTTCTCTGCCATTCTGTGCATGTTTATGTTTTAATTTAGGGTCCATTACCTAACTGCTGTCAGAGATTTGTGCTCCATGTTCTGATATGACTGCATCTGGGCTAGAAAGAAGGGGGAAGAATGCTCATTTTGTGTGTGTATCACCTCCTACCAGAGGGGAAAAAAAAAAACCCCCAACAAAATCCCCCCCAATGCAATGGCCAAGTCCGCAACAACCAGGGAAGAAAAAACGCCTTGGGGAAGAACCGGGGAAGGAAAAAAAAAAAAAAAGGGATGAAATGGCTGTTGGTTTTACAATCAGTGGTGTCTGCCATTCTTTAATGCACTGATCAAAAGAACAATCAAAGATGGATAGAACTAGAGACCATCATGTTAAGTGAAATAAATCAATCTCAGAAGGTAAGGGGTCATACGTTCTCTCTCATGTGTGGAAGCTAGAGAGGAAAGAGGAAAAGAAATTCAGGGGAATCCCATGAAAATCAATGGGAGATCAGTAGAGGAAAAGGACCAACTGGAGGAAGAGAGGGAAGGAGGGAACAAATACTGGGAAGGAATATTGGCCAAATTAGATATTGTTTGCATTTATGAATATGTAACAACAAATCCCATCATTAGCTGCAACTATACTGCATAAATAAAAAATGGAAAATAAAGGATGATGGGAGAAAAAAAAAGACAAAATAACCATTAAAGGAATAAATATGTCCATTTTGCTCACTGTCTTCTCTGTGAGATAATAATCGCTTCAACTCTGGGAAATACATGTGCTTTACACACTGCTATAAGCCTGGAATCCTCACAATGCTGGGCCCACATAGATCAGTCAGTGTTGATAGAAGGATCAAATTAATGAATATGAAAGAGAACAGCAGAAGCAGAAAGCAGGTTCAAAGGAGACAAAAAGCTGCCAACACAAAACTTAAACTGATTGCCCTATCTCAAATCTCATGGTTGAACTTTTGATTCCATTTAAATTGAAAATAATGTTTTTAACAAAAAAATAAAAAATTTTTTAAAAAGTGCTCAATTCTTCACACAGTGACTACAACTTTCCTAACCTCTCCAATTCCTGCCACATGGGTAGACATAGGTCTTATTTTTATCACTGAGATCCAGGAATGAATTATTTTTAAAAATAAAATTTTAGGGCTAGAGTTGTGGCTCAGTAGTAGAGCACTTGCCTAGCACATGTGAGCTCTGGGTTTGATCCTCAGCGCCACATACAAACAAATAAAATAAAGGTATTGTGTCCAACTACAACTAAAAAATAAATATTTTAAAAAATATTAAAAAATATTAAGCCCTGTTAAGGAGTTATATGATCCAGAACAATTTCAACTGTCTTCTGTACATACATATAAGTTAATTCTTGGCTCAAACATTTAAATATCATTCAAAAGTGCATAAAATCTTAAAAAGAACAGATATAAAATTTTTGGTCTAAATTTTCTACCCTTGAGAGCATCACACCAACAGAGAAGTTTGTAATTCAGGTTGGTTGAATAGGAAGATGGCAAATGTAAAATGTCAGGCACAAGAAGTTGCTAGGTGCATTTTAGTTCTTATATCTAGTCCAAAAGGAAGGTTTTTACTCCTATTTCTATCATGTCCTAAGTACATACCTATGTGCAAGTTATGTTCTTTGGATGGCAAATGATAAGGTAATCTTAAACTAACCTTTCAGTTATAAATAAAGTGACCCCACAATTTAAAAGCCTAAGTTAAAAAAGGCAAATGATATTGAGTACAGTCAGCTATAACCGACCTAACAAAAGATTCAGAGGAACACTCACATTCCTGAGAGTGTCTATTTCTACAGATGTAGAATTTCTGCTTAGTTTCTGATGGGCATTATGTTCGGTCCTGTCAAAATACATAGGGCACTGACTTACAAATATCACATTTAAAAAAAATAAAAGAATCTTAAATATCAACACATGCAAGAGTAGGTTTCATATTTTAAGTGTTTTTTTATTTGAAATTTAAAAAAAATGCTTAAAAACAAAAAAAATGACTTTAACATTGGCAAAGGGAGTCCCCCAAAGAAAAAAATATATATATAAACAGATGGCTGAGAAAGATCACCCACATGCAGAACACAGATCTTGAGGAGGCATTTCTAAGAATGAAGTAGCACTTCCCAGCCTGGGCCACTTCCCACAAGGATCCTTGTTTAACCCATGGAAAAGGCCAAGCTTACAACATGGGCCAAGGGGAACCTGAACCCTTTCCCATTGCCTCACAGTAATCAGTTTCCAACTGTCCCCAGTGTTCTCAGAGAAGCTAAGTACCAGTCACTTGAGACCAGCAATCCTCTAATAAATCAGTCTTCCATGATCAGCCCTGAACTAGCATCTTCCTAGTGAATGGGCTGTTAAGCCCTAGCTAAGCATATTAAACATTCAATTTAATGTATGACCCACATCTGTTCCACTTTCTCAGTGAGCAGAAGTTTCAAGACAACTTAAATCCCAGACTTACTCAACGAGGGAAAAGAAAAAAAAATCTTGGCAGTGTTTAAAACTGAGTTTTAAAATATAATCCAAATGAGGGCGAGAGAGACCATTTTGCTGTAACTAATGAGATTATATAATACCTAAATAAAATCCCCAAAATTACCTGAGAAGAAACACTAGATATTTATCTGGGCCCATTTATTTATTTATTTTTTTCCTTTCAAGGCCATCAACATTTCCCAAAGACCCTTCATATACACCTGGCCCAAGACATTAAAGAGCAAGCTAAAATGGCAAGCCTTCTACAAACACAACAATTTAACCCCTCGGATGCCAGAGGACCATAAAAGGAAAACTCACAGACTTGTCTTTCACAAGGAGAGCACAACACTGGATTCCAGCCATCAGCATCTTGTGCGGGTTCCAGGCCACCGAGTCAGCCCTATTGTGTGAAAGAAAGGGACAGAGTAGGAAGGGCACTTGATTAGTTTCCACAGGCAAAAGGACATTCAGTCCTCACACATAAGTTACTGCTCTACAGGATTCCTTGTCTGAGTCATCTGGGGCAATTTAGAAGGTTTTTGTTTTGTTTCAGGAAAAACAATTATTTCATTTTTTTTTTTCTGTTTTCAAAATGTCACTTCAATGGGCAAAGTCCAAAGAGATTCTTTTTTTCCCAGATAAAAGCCAGTCGCAAGGAGGAAAGGACATTTACCTGTGGATACCATGTAGAAGCCTGCGGTGCTTCCTTGACATCAAAGCTGAGCCACCCCAAGAAGCCTGTTGAGATATTTATATAACCAAGGTAATGTTACTTCCATGTTATTTGTTTACCAGTGGGTTGTCATATAGAAAATCCTCAGTGACAATCTCAATCTATGTTACTTGGTATTTGGTTTGATGTTCTGTTAACCAATTTGTACTCCAGGGAATTTAAAAAAAAAAAATCTTTTGTGGGGAACTGGGATTGAACCCAGGGCTCCATGCATGTGAGGCAAGGGCTTTACCACTGAGCTATACCCCAGTCCCAGGAGATTTTAATTTCTGGCTCTACTTAGGCAACCAGAACCTCATCACAATAGATGGGTCCTTACTGACTCTTAGAATGTATATTCACACATCATAAATACATCGCACACTAACCACTTGAATTTGTGCAGATAAAAAGAGATTTAAAAAAGATAGTCCATGCCCACTTGAAGCCTAGACTCTAAAAGGGACAATGTTTTCACAAAGCTGACATTTTGACATTCACACTGTATGGTGAGTCATAGGCCAATGGCTGGAATTCTAAGCAATGAATGAAGCACTTTATTGACACAGTGGATGAAAGGTTCATGGGGATGATTAGGTGGCAACCTTCCCTTTAATGAAAGAACTATTCAGTCAATTGGCATTCAGATACATTTGCAAATTGAAAGCGGGAGAATGGAGGAGGGAAACCTTAGGACTATCAAGGAAGTTAGTTATTCACTGAAGAGGCAAATTTTCTGCATACAGGAGAAGGAAGCAGAGAAAAGGGAAATGAAAGGAAGTCCCACAATCAATAGGTCAAGAAAGTAGGAAGAAGGGATCAAGGTAGGAAACACAAAAGTCAGTTTGATCCTTGAAAATTGTTCAGTCTTCCAAATTTTAATCTAGATAGGACAAGGAAGCATGAGTGCTGTGGAAGAATCTGGGGGAAATAGCTTGAGCTAGGCTGAATGCTCTCGCATTTATTTAATTCTTACAATATCACCCTGGGGGTGGAGTTATTATCAGCCTCAATATTTACAGATCAACGGAAGCTCAGAGGTGGGAAGCTAATTGTCCAAGGTATCCTGGATGATAAAATCAGATCTAGGATCCAAAACCAATTTTCTATTAGTGAAGGTGACCATTGGAAAACTTGGGGAGTATTAAAATGGGGAACTGAGGGTGATGGACATACTTTAGGCAAGAGGTGAGTTCAAGAGGTGCCAAGGATATAGAAAAGGTGTCCTACTTCAACTATAAAATTAAATAAGATAGGTGGATAACAATATCATATAGAAAGAAATGACAGGATTGTATTCAATATAAATGTGAAAGATAAAGGAAATGAGACACTTCTATGATTCTCACTTTATTACCAAAGCTGGACCCATTGATAACCAATGAAGATAAAGCATAGCAGAGGGCACTCTGTGGCCTTGACTCCCACTTAAAAGGCAACTCTCCCCTTAAGGGCTGGAAGTGGGTTGAGGTGAGTGAGTCACTTAATTACACAATTTAAAAATGAACTTGGTCTCAAATCTGGACTCTTGCATGGCTCTAAAAATGAATTTAAAGTGCTTAAATTTGAGTCCTTGAACCATCTCTGGTCTCAACCTAGTTCCAGCTCTGATTTCATGAACTAATGTCTTGAACAACACCATGAGGTGCCCAAAGGCTTCTGCACTCAATGTATCTTGAGGGTGGTGTGTGTGTGAGTCCCACAGACTCCTTGTAAAGAAACCATGTCTTGGGGCTGCCAGCTAAGTGTCCTTCTTGCCATACTGTCATACTGTCTCCCCAGTCCTACTGGGACTCACAACAGACCATGGATGACTAAGATGGGCCACAGCAGCTACTGCCTTCAGCATCCTAACTTACTAACTGAAGGTCCCCAGGTCTGAATTTTGAGATCTTGACCCCCCACAGACATTAAGATGACTTATGGATTAGGTTCTCTTACTTCCATGACACACCCTAAATACTAGCACATTTTAAAGGCATTATTAGTTCACTGGTTTACCTAGTCACTGGCAGGGTTAGGAAGAGCTCAGTCACAAATTCACTCCTCAAAGGAGCTAACAGGAGCCTGGCAGACACCCAAATCCATAGATGTTGAAGCACCTTTTATAAAATGGCATATAACCTAGGTAGCCTTCCCAAATAGTTTAAAATGATCTCTACGTAACTTATAATACCTAAAAATATAAATATAAGTAATTGTTGCATTGCAATATAAAGGGAATCATGACAAGAAGAAAAATCTGTGCATCTTCAATATAGGCACAATTTATTTTTTTTTTTTAATCTGCTAGATTCCAGGAACCAATTCCTTGTGGATACAGAGAGATGAGTTTCTATAACTTTTTGAAACAAGACAAACTGTGGAGACCATATATAGATTAATGGCTGTTAGGGATTGGGAAAGGAAGGGTTGAACAGGTAGAGCACAGAGTATTTTTAGGGCAGTGAAAATGTATGATACTATAATGGGGGATACATGTAGTTACACATTTGTCGAAATCCATAGCATGTACAACACCAAGAGTGGACTCTAAATTATGCATTTCACAAAAACAAATAAACAAACAATAACAACAACAATGAGCTAAAAAAGGAGCAACAAATAAAACTCCTGATGTCCATATCCTACTTCTATTTGCTTCTCTTTCTCAATCTCTAACACTAGAGTTTCAAGAACAGCAAACCAACCACTTAAGTGATGAAAGAGCTTGATTTTGCATCTCTATGGGGAATTGCCATTTATGGAGCTAACACTATATGCCAGACACCACAATATGTTAATTTGCATATTTTTCTCCTTAATTAACTAGTTAATAAATTAATAGGAAAACCAACCTTAAAAGAGAGGTGGAAGCAGGAGTGGCATCTAGATTCTACAGTCTCTAAAGTCCATGCTTTTAAAAACAATGTTACAGTCTCCCTAGGACTTGTAATGAATAGTGGGGAGACAGCAGAAAGCATTGCTGGGCACATGAGTCCCCGAAGAAGCCATCAGACTCTGCCTCAAAGGAGAGCAGGGCAGCCCTGCCTCCTTCTAGTTAGAGACCTGAATCCCATCAGCTCTCACGGAGGAACGATGGTCCTGAAGGAAAAAGATCCTCACAAGATGAAGGCTTTTCTTATTCTGTTGTCTAAAAATGCATTATAATTGGGCTGGGCGTGTGGCTGAAGCGGTACCGCGCTTGCTGGCATTCGTGTGGCTCGAGTTCGATCCTCAGCACCACATACAAAAACAAAGATGTTGTGTCCGCCAATAACTAAAAAATAAATATTGAAATTCTCTCTCTCTTTAAAAAAAAAATAAAAATGCATTATAATTAATCGAATTAAGATATCAAATATTCACCATCATTTGTATACTACTGAGAGGGGGGAAAAAAGACATTTTCAAAATACCAATATCAAAGATGTAAAAACACTTTTTTAAAAGTGCAAGTTAGAATTAATAAAGTATGGTATATAGACAAGGGCAAATCAGTTTTATGGAAAACCCAGACTAATAAGTAATCATAATGGCATTTTAAAGAAAAATAAATAAATACCAGTTTTAATATTTGAAAAACTCTTTAAAATACTCTTTAGCCGATTTCTAGTAGGTCAAAGCAATTAACGCAATTTTGTTAATATTCTATCTTCAAAATTAATGAACTTCCTGTGTTATGTGAAGTTTCTTCAAGATACGCTACCTGTTGCTGTAGTGAAATGTTTTCAACAGATTGAACCCCTGAAATAGCAAAGGATGGGCAAAGACTATCTCAATTTTAGAGCTTATTAATTTCTTTAATATGTCAGAAAGAGTGTGGTCAAACTCAGTCCAATATTATGGGCATTTGCCAGATGCCTACTATGTGTAAACAGAATAATTTAATTTGGCTTATGTGTTTCCTTAAAAAAGTGTTTACTTCAAAAGTTCAACCTTTAATTTTTCAAAAACCCAGGGAGCTTTTCATTCATATGTATAAATCACAATTTTCTCTAAGCCCCATAAATCTCTTAATATCATTCCCAATTTAACAACTGTTGTAGTTACTCTGTTTTACATAAACTATATAATCCATATTTGATGCTTCTTTTATGAGAGTAGAATATTTTAAGTACAATTGCTGATGTATTAAATTGTTTCTCCTTATTTCCACAGTTACAAAAGGACTTACTTCATATTATCTTTCATGACATAATGTATTGTTATGCTTCTAAGTCTATAAAAATCAATAAGATGTAAGTTGGAATATGAACAGATACAAATACTCATTCCAAAAAAAATACAGATACAAAAAAAAAAAATCTCATTTAAAGAAGTTGCAAATAATCTACCTGGAGTAGTCCTACCGGCATGCTAATCATGTCTGTGCCTCTCGTACGCTTCATAGTGCTTCTGCTTTCACCAAATATTGTCACACGCTTAATGAAAATCTTGAACTTCTGAGGAATTCCCTGCACATCATATCATCTACATTTAATTTTGAAAGCATAAAAATCATCCAAACTCTAAAATATTATGAAGGCAAATAGTCACCTTCTGTTTAACAAGTTAAAAATATTTATTTATTTATTTTCTGATAAGGAGTGTCTGAACCACGAAACCTACCAGAGGAAAGTTCCCTAAAGTCTCATCAGCATGGTTAAACACCTCTTTTCATGGGTAGAATAAAACTAGTTAAGTTCTGGTTTCACTAAGTAATCAAATAAGAAAGAAAGAGGAAAATAAGGGGACCAAAAAACTCAAACTCAATATTCACAACTAGTTGATTTCAACTTTTTAACTCTGAATAAGTGGATTTAAAAATTATCTTTAATTTTAAGGAAACTTTATTATGAATAACCTCAGGACTCACAAAATTAATTAGGAAAAAAGCCCATCTTTTAAGTTAGAAAATTATGAAGAATGTAAGTCATCTCAATCCCTCTTAAATAATTATCTACGAGAGATACATATAAAACTGGCTTTAATTATTGCATGCAATTATGTAATGTAGTTTTTACATTTTCTGGCTGATTGGAATCATAAAATTTCAGAGCAAGAGGATACTCTACAGACCACATCAGCCATCTCCCTTTACAAAAGAAGAAACTGCAATCAGGAGGCCTGAGATCACAATGAAGAGGCAGATTATAATCCCACCCCCCAAAAAAAATTTCTTGATTCCATAGTCCAAAATGTATTCCTGACATTATGCTACTTCATAATTCAGAAAGGCAAAAAGATACCACTAAGGACAGGGAAAAGTAAAGTGGAATCCAGAAAATTAATACAAGTGTCCATGAAATCTTGGAATTTTGAAACAAACTCATTCCTCACAGAAATGACATACTAATTTCCCCAAATTAGAAGCACAACTAAAAGTAGGTGGGGCTTTGCATCTAGGTTCTGAGAACCTGCAAGAAGCTACAGAATGACAAGAAAGTTTGACAGGTGTGTGTGTACGCATGTGAACTTACATCCACGTGAAGCCAGAGACCGTGCCTCTCACAGATGTCAGCTATTTCATCCAGAGGGTCGAAGGCACCCAGCACAGTTGTGCCAGAGGTGGCACAGACAAGAAACGGCATTGTCCCCTGTGAGAAGGATCCACACACAGAGAGAACTGTCACCGTCACCACCAAAGTTTTGTTGGAAACACAAAGCATTATGCATCCAGACATGGATATTGGCGTTTTGAAGGTGATTGTTAATTCAATGGGTGTTTTTAAACTTCTACACTATATGGACTTTTGTAATTAACAGACAGGTTGGGAAAATGCTAAGAGGGCAGTAGTCTTTTGTGCAAGGTCAATATACAGTCTCGCTATTATTGCTCTCATTCTCCCTCTGTAGTATTCTGTGCTCTAAGCATGGCCCAGACAGAGCATAAACTGACTCTGTGGCAAAGGCAAACTGACAATCTGTATGTGTGTCCCAATTCCTTCCTAGGGAAATAAGTTGGGCCTCCATGGTGACATTGTCACCCTTCTCCAAAACAAGAAGGAACATGACTGGCAGACAAACCCCCAGGGGGTAAACCATACAGGCCTTTTGGTTGTCTCCTTGTAAATTTAGTGCAGTTGCAAAACAAAGAATGTGTTCAGGTACAAAACCCAGCAAAATTTGAATACAGAGAATCAGGCAACCTTGTGGGGAGGCCTTCTCCACATGGGTGATACAGTAGAGAAATTCACTGGAAGGTACTGGAAAACAGAACCGGCATCACTCTTGCCGTGATTATTCCTCCTCCTACACTTGATTGCTGCATCTTGCAGAGAAAACAAATGCCATTGGAAGTTGGGGGAGAAAAGGGAGAGTGTGGGGGCACACGTAGAGATGAATGGTAACAGTAGTCAAGCTAGCCAGGCACCCTGACCCCATTAAGGGACTTTATGTCAACCAGGCAGAGGAAGAATACAACAGGTTGTTTCCAATTAGATGAATCCCAGCATGGCAGCAGAGATGAGCTGCTTACTGTGGAAGCATCCTGGAGGGAAAACTTACAGACCAATGTGAGGTGGTGACAAGCAACTAGAATCCTAGGATTCTAGAACACCTGAGGAATAAGTGACTCCTGTCACTTCACCACCTATGAAAGTCATTCTTCTTCCATTTAGCATGAAGGTATATTTTCCCCTCAGCTTTATCATGAAGTGCATTATTATTGCAACATTCTTTTTTTATCCTTTGATGCCAAGATGTGGTTGTGTTTGAAACAAACTCATTCCAATTTAACTGACCTTTGACAGAAAGATGTTATTTCTCAACAGAAAGTGGGGCAGAGCAAGAACACTTGGTCCCACATCTCCAAATTGAGATGCACAGGAATCAAAGTGATGGTACATAATGAATCCAGTTGCCATTTTGGGGAGACATCTGTGACACACAGAATCGAGTCTACCCCAAACCTCTCAGCCAGGCCAGAAGGTGAGAGAGCCCCTGGGAGAAACCATGGGCTTTGGAAATTCTTCCCTGTTCTCAAACACAACAGATTAAGTCTTTATCATGTCAGTGACCTAAATGAAATGAGAACAGATGTACATCAATCATCAAAAGCAACAAAAGAAGTAATTTGCTAAAGCTGTTTAAGGTGTCTTTAATGGTTGGGCTTTCCTGCCACAGACTATATGACATTCTGACAGCTGTGAGAAAATACCTATGCACACCATCATAGCCTATTAATGAGTTTTTCTCACCTTTAAAAAAAAAGTTGCTATAAATCAGGTCCAGAAATTAAACTTTTGCAATCTGGATTTAACCTTCCATATTTTTTTTTCCTTCCTCATACCTCATACTGGTAACAAGAAAATTCAGTAGAAAGGGTATTGATTGCATGCTGCCAATGAGCTATATTCCCTGAGAAAGTTTGTCATTTCAAGTACTCATACACAAAAATACCTCCAAAATATTCGGTGGTCATACTAGTTTGGGCTTGTCAATAATCACTTGAGAACCTCTGGTGCCTTGTGGTTTTCACTGTCTTTGTAATAGCATCAAGTAAAGGTCACTGCTTAAAAGAGTTTTTAATGGATTATGATCCACCAGATACTTGAATCTGAGAACACAAGAAAAGCTGAAATACTGTTGCCTACATCTGAAACAGTATGAGTTAAAAGCTTGAAACAAAACAACTAGGTCTAAGCTACTGAGGAAAATAAACTACTCATCATATATTATCATCTTCGAATGGGTACAAGGTTTGTTTGAAGTAAATCCAGGCTAAATTATCAGCTGACTTGAAAGAAAACCAAGAAGACATATCAGCTTTAGCCCCTTGTCCTACTTTTAAATGTGCCTAAAGCATTTTTTTTTACTTTTTAAAGACTTCTTTTATTAAGCTCTCAACTTTAGAATTACGTTGGCTTCGTATATATTATTGTCAAAACAAAAATTGGAGTAACTAAATAATAGTGACTTCGGTGAAATAAAATTCACTCTGCTAGAAATATGAATTGTTGCTGTTGGTATAGCTCAGTGGTAGAGCACTCGCCTAGCACATGCTGGGCCCTGGGTTCAACTGTCAGCAACACCAAACATAAGAAAGAGAAGGTGGGGGGGAGGAAGGAGAGGGAGGGAGAGGAAAGGAAAGGAAAAGAAGAAAAGAAATATGAATCATTAGTGATACCAAAAATTTGGGAGACCATGTTTATAGAAAATTAACTCAGTATTTTGAAAATTGGTCAATAAGGGGGAAAGAATAAATTATTGATCCTGCCTTGCATGTGTAAACTGCTTCCTTAGGGAAATCAAACAAGGATGAGGAAACATTTTTCTTTAGGAGAGTGTTGCCAATAATAAGGAAGGAATGAGAAACTGAATTAGAACATCAGTTGATGAAATGATGGGTCTGGACAATGACCACCAAGAGGTGAGGGACTGACTGCAGACTTTATAACAATACTAAACCCTACTGTACTGTTAGCACAAAAAGGGACATGAGATATCTCCAGACAGAAAGACAAAAAAAAAAAACCTTCTTCTTCTTTTTTTTTTTGTTGTTGTTGTTTTGTTTTGTTTTTTAAATCCAATTTGAATCTCACTGGGTCTCAAGATCTAAATTCTACACTGCAGACACAGTGGTGGGGAGCACTTAGCATCTCAATTCTTGATGTAATCCACAAAATCCATAATGTGGAACACTCTACCAGACAAAGGACGTGGCTTCTTCAACAAATCAATTGTAGGCAACAAACAAGGAGGAGGACCAAGCTAGGGATCAGAAAAGACTTGCGTGGACCTTGTTTGAATCCCAGTGTACACAAGCCAATTATTTTTAAAAAGGCAATGGGGAAATTTTTAATATAAGCTGAATATTTGATAACATTAAGAAATTTTAGCTTTTAAATATAATCATTTTTTTTTAAAGAGTACCTATGTCTTACAGATATTCTCCATGATTTATAGGTCCAAGGAGATAATGTCAGGGCGTGCTTCAGACTCGTGTAGCAGTGGTGAAAGGGCGTGGGGTGTGGATGAGGCACAGGAGAGCAGGAGCTGAGGATTGCTGGAGAGACATTGCGGGCATAGGAAGGCTCCTAATATTGTTTCTGTGTAGGTTTGAAATTGTAATCAAAAGTTTAAAATTCAAGAAAGAAAGAAAAGAGCCCTGGGGTAGGGCAGGTGGGGGGGGGGCGAGGAGAAGGAAAGAGGGGAAGGAAGAAGGAAGAAAAAATGTGAAACAGGAAAGAAGCACCATCAGCATTCCCCACCATCTAACATCCAGGACGTCATGAACATTCTCTTTAACGAGAACTTCTGTAGAATAAAATGGAACTAAGACTCAAAAGCAGTATCTGTGGTTCACAGCCAGTATTTTGCAGAATTTTACACAAAAGTTAAAGGCATATATGCTAATCTGAACCACCAGAGAGTTCTCAAATCTACTTGTCCTTAGAATGGCAAGAAAAACAAACAAACAAACAAATAAGTGGATACAGATTTAAGGATACACACCTGAAGCCAATACAGCCAGAAGAACTGCAGAATTTTTAAAATATAGAGTTTGAACAAAATACAGTAATCTATCATGCCCCAGGACAAGCTGATTTTTATGAAAATTAAAAAAAACCCTGAATAGTACAAGAACAAAAATACAGTATTAAAACTGTATTTTAATACATTTTAAAAATTACCAATTTAAAATTTTTAAAAATTACTTTTAAAAATTACCCATCATTCTTAGGGTGTGAACTCCTGTGATAGGTATACCTCACATCTCAGCTCAAAAGATGGGATTTTTAATTTTCTTGGGCCTGACCATTTGCTACCTGTTGGAAAGTTACTAGAAAATTATCTGAAGCTCCATTAGCAAGGGAAGAAGTGGGCGGAGTTAGTGAGGTAGGTGCACCAATCCAGCAGGTTTTTGGTCCAAAGAGCAAATGGTTAGTACCAAAAATAATCAGCTTCCTCTTCAAAAAGCAGGTAACCAGAGACATGCCCTGCCTTTTCTAACAACCAGCATTTCAGCTTGAATATATTCTAGCAGGTGGGGAAGACAGGATATTCTGCCACTGAAAGGCTAGACCCAGACCCAGTATGAAGGGGCACTAATGGATGGGCTTTGGATTGGAAGCAATTGGGAGGAGGGATGGATAAAGAAGTCAACAATCATTTTGAATGCAGCACAAAAACATCTGTTTGTCCTACAGATTTCTGGGAGGGAGGAGCTACATAGATAGCAGAGTGCATGCCAAGGCTCTGTTGGAGAGGCTAAGTTCATCTTTAGGGCTTATTGTTGCCAAGAAATCTGAATATGGTGATGTCAGTGTTTTAATAGGCTCTGGCCGCCTGGGAATGAGATATCAAAACAAAACAAAACAAAACAAAACAAAAAAAA